AAATACATATTTTTTTCTTATCTATGTACTCATATAAATACACATCAAAAGTGTAAGCACCTGGTTACTGCATGTGTTGAGTATTTGACTACAGCAGATATGAATCTTTCATGCTGTATCTATGCTAGCTCCTCGAGACCAGTGGGGCCAAATTTGTAGGATGTACTACCTGCTGTAGGTGCATTCCAGGAAGAAGCTTCCTGTATCTTTGGCAAGATCCACTCTGGTCCTGTGAACACCTGTTAGCAATTATGATGCTTGTTCCAGTTTAATTAAAAAAAAAAAAAAAAATCTAGTTTGCTTGAAATCTGCCATTTTACTTGCATGTCCAACTAAAATTTATCAAACCCACCAGTTTAGGTATTGTTAACTTGGCATGTTTCTCTCCTGCTTCTGCAAAGGCTGCATGTGTTTAACCCAATTATCTGGGGAAGATGTGAGGGATTTGGGATTTGTCATTATTCTTTTTCCTGATAGCTTCAAATGAGAGCCATTGTCTGACTTCCTTGGTTTCACCACTGATCTGTTTCTTCAGGGTAATCCCATGTATGAGTTACTCACAAACTCTGGGAAATTAAGGTTATGAAAAGGTAAAAGAGCAACAAATGCTTCCCCTCATCCCCCTCACCCAAGAGCAAAACAAGTAGAAGCAACTTCTGGGGGACGTAGTTTCTGAAGAAGAATTCCTTACCAGTGTGTCCTTTCAGGTTTTACTGGGTTTCAGGATTTGACTCCCACTTTTTCTAAAGCACTCCTCTAGGGTGGCTACACAAGATGCAAAGTTTTATAGCAATACTGAAATTGAAGATATCTATTGATGGGTGTCATATAGATACTGATGTGTCTGGCTAATTGTCACACTGTACTTTAAAATTCCTTCCAGATACTGCCTCCCACAATCAGGACATCCTTGGATTGTCACAATGATTTCATGAAGGTTTAGGATAATGACCACTAAGGTGTAACAGTAATTCCTGAAGGTTTTACTTTTCATTACAGTAGATTTTTCTTAATAATAGTAAGAAAAGGGGAGTGGTGCATGGTGCCTTTTCACTGCCTGCATAGCTAAAGGACAGTAGTAAGAAGACTGACAAGACCAAAGAGAGGTCAATGTTTTATTTAGTGACAGCACTTTTAAGTCCTTTTGTCTGCCTTGGTCTTCTGAACTGTTCAGAAACTTGGCTTAGAAACTTGAACCCAAGAGCACAGCATGTACATGGACAACTCAGTTGCCTTCTTGAGCAGACTACAAGAACATGGTGGTCAGAGCAGTGGGCTACAGGACAGTGCAATAAAATGTGAACCACTCTGTGGACCAGATCCAGTCACAGCTTACCAGATGGACCATCCTGCTCCACCAACACCAGAGTGCCAAATCTGCCCTGCTCAAGAGTGGTCAGAGTAAGTCAGTGTTTGAAGAATGTAAGATACATGTACATGCACATTGCTGGGAAAGTTCTAGCATGTTTAGAAGATTGACAACAAGCTGCAGTTATGGTCTACCTGTAGAAGGCTGTAGGGTCTTAAAGAAAATGTGCAAAAAGTGCTTCCTCATAATGAGAGGCTGGTGAAGACCTTGGACCAAAGCACAAGATAAAGGAAGTGAAGAGGCCATGAGATATTAAGTAGAACATTTACTCACAGAGGATCTCATCTCCACAGGTAGTTCTGTTCCAGGCACAGGAAACTTGGAACTATGTGCTAAAGGTCCTGGGACCATGAAAAAACACAAATCGACCTGGATGTAACAGGACACCAAGTAAACAGAAGGAAACTTAACTATTTGGAACAGAACAGTAGTAGCATCAAACACGTTTTGGGATGTACAGATACCACAAGCAAACAGTTATGTATTTGACCAGTTATAGCATATTTAGCCTGATACAGTTTCCCACTGCTTCAAGAAAGGTAGATAAAAATATACACAAAATTACACTGTCAGCATACAGAGGGATGATGATTTTCATGTGGCATATTCGAGCACTGAGTGCATAAACTTCTAAATTAATGAACTAAAAGCTTCTTGCCTTTTATTCGTGATGTCCCAAACACAAGAGAGTTTGTGACTATATAAGGGTGTGTAGAGAACAGATTGTGACTGACATTCTGAGCAAAAACAAGCAGAGCAAAGATAGGCATGATTGTTCCAATAAACATCAGACAATTTTGCAACGCATATGCAAGTCTGAACTCTCTCCAATTTTCAAACAGCTATATAAAACCATCCCACTCAAAAGCTTTGATATTTAGATTAGGATTGCTTACTTCTTTTTACATCACTGTCACTCTTCAACAATAAACCGGGACCCCCTAGGAGAAAAAAAGGTCAGACGTCTTTTTGTAATGAATCCAAATTACAAATATTTTATTGGTAATTTAGAATGTTTATGCTGCTTGATCTACAGAAGTTGCTATTTCAAGTGATCACAGAAAATGAAATATAGAATAATTTTACACAGCTATACAGAACAATTTTTAAAAATCCTTTAAATATTATTTCAGTACATACAACGTTCTCTTGCTAAGCCAGCTGTGTCTCGATTAAGAGCTGTTTGGGACACTGAAATGTCACAGCTCATAGCAGATGCTCCACAACCATCAAGTTTTGGATTTGATTCTGAGGTGCAGTACCAGTGTTTCAGTTCAGTTTAGGCAGAATTCAGAGCAGCTGGGGAACTAACATCTAACTGCTGTCTGAAAACTAGAACACAGAGCTGTGATGTAGTTTCTTACAAGTTGGTTTCTTTTACCTGGAGCCATTCTGTGTGAACCCTTCAGACCACTGGGACAATGACTCTTCCCTGTCACACCACTCTGGGCAAGCACACTGAACTCCTACAAAGGCACCTGTGTCTCTGTGCAATTGTTCTGCTACCTGTGACCCCATCTGAGGATTAGAGAACATTGGACTGGATGTCTCACCCTAGAAGCTGATTTCATCCTCTTTTCCTATGTTTTCTAATCAACTCCTTAAAAAGAAAGCATTTTGATTCTTCTCTTATTTTGTTCAAAGTAGCGAATGTCACATGGGCTTTTTAAAGAGCCGTGTTCAGCCCTAATTCTGCTGGAACTGAATTGAACGGTTAAATGTTTACTGATTTCAGTGAATGGAAGAACAAACTTGTACTAAGGATTTCAGAAAACACCTGTGTGAAGTATTAAGAGATTTAATCTTAGAACTGTATAAGAACAGAAGTTTTGAAACTTTTTATTACAGGAAATGAAAGCTTAAATAAAAATATTGCTTTGAATAATACTGAAAAAAATGACAGAGTGTACTAATATTTATATATGAACCCAAAAAGGGGGCAGCATATATGGTCTTTATTTGCAAAACCTAAATATCTGACTTAGCAGAACTTAACAAAGAATTAGTCCAGGAAAAAATGAAAAATATGTTACACAGTTGCAGACATAACAGCTATATTTTAAATAAAAATAACAATAATATACATGTACAATATTGTAAAGATAAAACTTGATGAAAATAACACTGATCAGTATCAAATCTAGGATTTCACTTATTATCCATCCTTAACAGATGAAACGCATTTCACAGAAATAGATCCAGGTAGGGTGAAGTGAAGTGATATTCATGGCTTACTGTGAGAAAGTTACCATGAAAATTAAGGTAAAAACATAAAGAAGGAAACCTAAAATAGATTTACATTTATAAAAATTCAGCATTACAGCAGCTGAGTGGACGTGCTGCAGCAAGATGGTAACAGCAACCTTATGGTACACACCACACATGCTTGCACACACACACTCACACACAAACACACACGTGCCCATGCTCAAATGCATGTGCAGGGGTCCTCCTCAGCTTGATTATACAAGCATTCACTTACCAGCTTTTGACGGGGACAACACCAGGAATGGGCTCACTGCCCCGTTTTTAGCTGTCTGCAAGGTAGCTGTAGCTACCTAAAGTCAGAAACCCACCCAAAGTAACATCAGCTGAACATTTAATGAAAGCTGTTTTCATCCTGAGCACATTTAAGGCACTTTAGTAAAAAATCTGAAGTTAATCAAGACTGGGAAAAAAAGGTAAAAATCCTTACATGTGAGATCTGGAAATTTAAAATAAAAAATTTCCTGAGTTTTGATAAATAATTTTATTATAATAAAATACCAAGCCTGTTGAAAACATGTCTTTTATAAAAGCATGTTACATGACAATTTTTCTTGAAAAACTCATGCCTTAGTGCATGAAATATGTTAATAAGTCTTTGGGGACATCTGTAACAAATTAACAGGAAATGAAAAGTCAAAGAATGACCTGTCATGTATATACAAAACATGCATTGCTCCCGGCAACACACATCATGTTTACTACAGGCATCTTTATCTTCTTCTGTTCTTGCAGGGTCCTGCCCATATCTTAATACTTTACAATTAATTACATTTCACTGAACTATTTACAGAAGCAGAAACTAATCACACATCTTCTTACGCCCAAAAATATGGAACTACAGAAGTAGAATATATTTTAAAACAATATGAAGATGAGTATGCTACATAGTACTGTTCTCTAGAAGCACAGCTCATTAATTATTTTCTTTATGAAGATTTAAATCTAAATTAAGATAGAAGTTTAAATTCTCTCTTTTTACATTGGTGACATTTTTTTCCACCCACTATTTTAAAAAAAATTTGCTCCAAGACAGTACTTGGGTTGCAAAAACAGTTGTAAATTGTCACAAAAGTATCTCCAGTAAAGAACCACCAGGCTCTGGAATGCCCACTTTTTACACAGGATACAATCCATTTGTTTTCAACTAAAAATAGCTGAAATAATAGCTGCTCTCTGTACATTTCTACTAGTATTAATTTTTTGCTTTTGGTGTGGTTTTCTCTCCTTTGCTATCAGTAAACACAAATACTCATACCCAAAGTGCTGGCAAATGCACTGAAGACACACAGTGGCTACAGAAATGCATTTATAGAGCCCTTGGCAGGTTCCTTCTGACAATAATAGGTAAAAACAGTCATCAAAGTAAAATGCACTTTCGTTTTTACTGCATCCTTTAATATTTTCAGTAGCTACCTCGATAATATACCTGATAAAAATTCTACTTTTTAACATTTAGACTTCTATTACAAAGTATTTCATGTTTTATTTAAACAAACTCACAATAGTGATAGTGGTTAATTTGCTTTATAAAAGATAATACATTGCGTTATATATAATAATGGCTTTGATCCAATTAATTTGATATTATGCTGCTTAATAATTGCTGTGACTTCAGTTCCTACAACTGTTACAGAGAATACAAACGATCGCTTAATGTACAGGAAGTGGGGATCATTTGGAAGTGCTGATTCAGAAGTATTCAAGTGCTAACAATGACTTGTTCTTTCTATGCTTTTCTTCATGTTCCATAAATGATGATTTCATAAATGTCCGTGATTTTCAACGTGATACCGTTTTAGGACGATTTTTTTTAATGTTCTTTTGTTTTGTGCAAATACAAAACTAGATTACTCTGGATGTTACCATCTTGTTAAAAGTAATTGCAACTTTTTTCCTTAAAAAGGCACCAGTATTAATGTAAGAGAATATACCTTTTATGCTTGCTTTATGAAGAGCTGTACTTGTTACTGGAGCGGAAATTATCATATCCGTGATCATTAGCTTTGAACTTTAAACAGGACTGCCTTTCCTCCAGGGACAACAGATCTTTGGATTGGCACCAGCAACACAAGCATGACTGTTAAAATAAATGAAACAAACATTTTACATCACTCTGATTTTGCACACGTGGCAAAACGTACTGAAAATCTGCCCTTTCCCAGGGGTAGAGTAGGAAATGGCGAATGTGCAAGCTGCTGCTCTGGGATTAGAGCATAAAGCATAGAAATGGGACTCAACTCTGAGCTGCTCAAATGGCCCCATTAGCAATCTTACTTCTGGAGCACAGCAGGAGTTATATTGAGTAGTTATATATAGTAACAGCCACACACATACCCCTTCAAATCTGGTCTGCAGTTCTAAATGCATCTGAAAATAAAATTATGACTCCTTATTGTCCTTTGTCTGATAATCTTTCTTGAGGAAAAAAAATGCATTCTTATCTATCCTTTCTAAGCAAGATGCTGCTTTTTAGCTCATTGTTCTGAGGTGGAAAAAAGAGAAGTTAGAAGAAGGGTGAAAACCTATATACAACTCATACATTTACTAGATGTACTGCAGACCTTTTTCTCATGCTCCTGTCTGGCCTTTGGGTGCTAAAGTGCTTTCCTCACACCCACTTACTTCCATGCTCAGGATGATGATCTCTTATGTGCTCTCAGCTCCAGTGACTCTTTCAGGGAGCCAGCAGCATAGACAGGGAAGACAAGACCAACACTAAAACCTCTGCAACTTGTGCTGTCACAGGTATGTGGGAAATACATTAGCACTACTAGATGTAGAGCTGACTGACTACTGACTTTCCATCTTGCTAGTAAGGAATTTTAAAAGCCACGCAATAACCCTAGCTGTGGCCAGTGGTTAAATACTTGGCAAGAAAAGAAAAAAATCTAACAATTTAGATCTAAAAACCTAACATAGGCAATATAAGGATTCCAATACAGTGTCTAAAAATAGCAAGGGTTCACAAAGCCCAAATCTCCGTATTTTCCAAGAAGACGTGAAGGCTGAAGGACTGATGAGCTGCAAACCATATGCAATCCATAGCCTGAAACCTTGAGTGGAGAATTAGTGCCCAGCTCTATTCACTCAGGCCAGAACTACAAACAGGTCTGTCTCATAAAATGTTGGTGCTGGAAAGGGACAAGTACAGATTTGCATCCTCTGCCTTCCATGACTGATTGAAGTGCTCTGCCAGGAAGAGGGAGCCCAGGGTCAGCACCCTCCCTGCCAGGATGCAGAGGATGTGGCTACGTGAATCTCTGCAGCACAGTCCCAGTCTGCTTCGTCAGTGCTCTGGGAGTAGCTGGGTGCCAGCTTCAGTCAGGAAGTGATGTAGCACTGATTAGCATGATCCACAGAGGCTTTATTGTACACTCTGCTCTTTTGCTTTCTCTTTTTGTTCCCATCAAACCTTAGCTCCTTCCTATGAAGCTTCAGCAGGAGGGAGGGAGAACATTTACCATAACCCAATTCAAATGTAAAGTACATTTTAATGACCATTTAAAACATGTTAAGGAATGAATTTTATGACTGATATCATCTTTGAACCAGAGGAGCAACTCCCAGCAGCCACTTACCTTAAAGCAGTTTTGGAATCTTTTGCTCACCAAATACAGAGCTATTGGATTGATGCAGGAGTTCAGTGAAGCCATGTTAATACCAATGTAGTCCATCACAAGAAAAAAGCTGTGTGGAAATTTAAGTGAGACACTTCTCATTTGCTTTGAAAAGGCTTAGTAGAGGTTTACAACTATGGAAATTGGACTTGGTTTCACTCAATCATGACCAGCTATTAAATGTAATAGTAATGGGGATTAAATCAACAGGATTAACTCATGCGGGTAACAGTTATACTCAACAATAAGGTCTGAATCAGAAGACCATTCTTGTGAAAGTAATTTCAGGAGATCCAACCATTTTAACTTTTGGAAGAAGATATTCACAAGGTCTTTTTGAACCTTTGAATCTTAGCTGCTCTCTTGAAAGGGAAAATAGGGACAGAAATCCCCTTTCTATTCTCATAGCACCACATGACAGAACAGTCCCAAAAAGGATCAAGAGGAAGATGGGGAAAAGAAAGGGAATTCCTCAAAATTCTATTTCTCTGCTATTGGAGTGAAACCAGATGGTCCCCGATGAAGAAGCAGGGACAACTCTAGACATGCAGAATAAACTAATTCAATAGGAAATCCAAATATGCTTATGGAGAATGCCCACAATACACAGATATTTTATTATTGCATTCTCACCTTAAAAGTTCACATCTGTTGGGGTCCTTCTGATCATAAATAGTGAGTTTCAAGATTCTGCTTAAGTGAAGTGGGAGCCAACACAAGGCAAAAACAAGCACCAGACAGAACACAGTTTTGGCCACCTCACGTCTCTGAGAAAGAAAATTGGACAGAACAGTGTTACAGTTCTCCTCTCCCTCTCTGAATCGTTGCTGTCTTCCAATATCCAAATATTTAATAAACAAGATAAAAAAGCCTATCAAAATAGGAGTTAGGAAAGCATCAAATAGCTTATTTTCTTGGACTATGTGCTTGATCTTTTCTATTGTTTTAGAAGTCTCGCTCTGGTTTTATGTATCTCTTATTTCAAGAAGTATGAGTAATAATATGACAAATCGAGGTCATGAAAACATCATTTAAGCAATAATTTAAATTAAAATTAAGAATATATTTGTTTCCCCTATCACGTTCAAATACCAGCTTGTTTTCAATTGTGTTTCCTTTTGCTTTGATCTCACATCTTATTTTAAATGCCCCAAGAGATTCCAATTACACCTCTAACCAGGTAAGAGGAAAGGAGCACAAATACACATTATAGAACAAACAGAGTTTAATTCTAGTGATGTCTGATGTTTGTGTCTGGGCCACTAATACCTTGGAATGCATTCTGGAATATATTTTGCTCTGCTAACATATACTGCTAACCTCAATAGGGTTCAGCAAGAACTTGCTTCAAAATAATTAACAGTTTAAAAGCAACACCTACTAGACTAGAGCATGACTTCAGTTTGCATTACAAAATAGTCAACTCTCATTATGGCAAAGAAGAAATAAAACCCACAAAACCTGAAACATTAAAATCAAACAAGAAAGACACAATTTTGTGATTTTCAGTTAAAGTCTTAGGTTCCTGAGGGCTCTGATATATACATATGTATATGAGTTCAGCAGCACCACTGCTAGGAAACTTCTCTTTGCTTCTAATCCTGAAGTCATATAAGAACAGAATGATGTGGCAGGAAAATAAATAAAATTATTAGGTAGCCTGTCTATAGTTAGAGAGTGGACAGGGATAAATTTTTACCTGTTTTAAGTGGTCATTTAAAGCAATCTGCATCCCACTTTTCTTTCGTAACATCTCACAAGTCATGAGAGTATAGAAAAATGCTGTGATCGCCAGTGGCAAACAGAAGTAAAAGCTGAACAGCCACCAATCTTTAGCTTCCTTGTAAAACTGTAAAGAGCAAAGCAAAGCAAAAACATGGTTAGGAATTAAATGCTGAGCATTTTGCTAAGTGTGCTGTAACTAATTGGTCAGTCTGTCCTGAAAAGCATTTATGTAAGGTGTACATTACAGGAGAAAAAACAGGACAAGAAAGCAGTATGCTCAAAGCCCACAAAAAAGTCAAAGATTTCTGAATGCTCTTCTTTGAACCTGTATGCTTCAGAAATGTCAGTATTTCATTTGAACATTATCTTCACCTACATGTCACATACACCTGTGCACATTACAGTTCACACAACACTGTGAAGATCCAAGGAACTGTCCCAGAGATTTTATAAATGTTAGTTACTTACCATCATAAAGGATGTTTTCTGTGTGGGGTGAAGCAAGCAGATTCTAAGATACTTTCCTCTGTACTCCATTGTAATCATGTCAAATGCAATAGCTTCTGGAACAGCCAGTATCACTGATATGACCCAGATGAGGACAATTTCCACAGCAGTCCATTTTGGCACTCCAATTCCTTTAATGCGACTCCAGGAAGCGACTGCTCGGTACCTGAAGCCACAGCATACATTTACAAAATCAAAACAAGAGAAAACTCCAGTTTAACTGGCTTAAATTCATCTTTGTATTAGCATTATATCAGCTGAGTGGAAAGGTGAATTTGAGCCAATGCCCTTATAGAAAAAAAATTAAGAGACTTCAATGAAAAATGGGTCTCACCTGTCTATACTGAGGGCACACAAACTCAGCACTGTGATGCCCACCGATGCCTTTTGAATGAAGGGCACTAGTTTGCACATTTCAACACCAAAAGGCCAGTCCTCTGCAAGTAGCTGTGAAAAGAAAACAACAATTATTAAAAAAACCATTCATTACCAGTGCTGAAAAATGGAGTTCTATCTTGACTGCTTTCCACCAGGTCTTGTCCTACAAAGACAGGCTGAATGGGGTTTGTTCAGACTAGAGAAGAGAAGGCACCAGGCAGACCCTGTAGCAACTTTTCAGTACCAAAAAGAGGCCTAAAGAAGGCAGGAGTGGGACTTTTTACAAGGGCACTTAGACACAGAACAAAGGGGGAACAGCTTTAAACTGAGATATTGTGAATGCCCCACCTCTGGAAGTGTTCCATTCTAGGCTGGACAGGGCATTGAGCAACCTGGTCCACTGAAAGGTGTCCCTGCCCATGCCATGCCATGGAGGCTGGAACTAGACGACCTCTAAAATTCAAGTCAAACCATTTTACAATTTTATGCAAATCTTAGTCAAGAAGAATCTTTTCACGAGGGAGCCCCTGAGGTGTGTGCCCTAAAAACTGGACAGTAGCAGTGTAGTCACTCCCTGGTGGGACAAGGGTATCACTCAAGTGTTAGTCCTGCCTCCTTAAGCACTGTAAACTCCACTCCTTTTGCTTCTAACTTCATCATCTCAGTGATTATGGGAAAAAATGACAGAGCAGGTGAGGATCTTCCTCATCTTTGAATTGTCTTTATCTGACTCGACTGTTCACTGCTTTTCTTACATGTTCCAAATAACACACCCTTGACCAGAAATACAGAAAATTACCTGAGACTGATCAGAACAGGGACAGAGCCAGAAGGTGCATATCTGGGGTGGGGTGTATTTGAGGTTTAGTGTCTAGGCTCCATGAGCTGAGAAGTCAGGCAACACTGGAGAGAAATGTATCCCCCACAGTTTTTAGCTAACCATCTGATTAAAAATAAAAGGACCCTCTGGACACTCAAGGAGCATAGGACATAGTGTGATCTAATTGTTTTGCAGCAGGTAAAAACATCAGATGAATCCCTCACTAATGGTTTTTATTGACCAGTTTACCAGTGTTCTCTACTATAATACCAAAAGGACTACCTGCATATTCAGCATATCTCTAAGTACTAAGACATAGAGAAAACAGCACAATGCACTTCAGGTTGGCTCACTTAGCATTTTGAATCATACACTTTAATGAAAATCTTTCCACATCCCCAGCTGCACATTTTATCTGATTTAGGGGAAAAGATTAACTGGACACAGAAAGCACCTTCCTCACAGCTGATTCTATGAACAGACAAACGTCTGTAGCCTCAGTTTAGCAACATTTAGCCTTTGAACTTCTTCGATGGTCAAATACACCAGAGCAGCAGCCAAATCTTCCAGTTTTCATTAAAACAACATTCTCCACAACAAGGGTTGTGCCAAGAAATAGACGCAGTTGTTATACAGAAGAGTAAACTTTTGGAGTTTCTGTATTTAGTTAAGATTATCTAAGCCCATCTTTGTTTTTCATAACTTTCTTCAAATGAGGTCTTTGGAATCTTTGCAGATACAGTGCTACAAAATGGAAAAGGAGAAGGAAGAATGATGACTACCCAAAAGAGACTGGAAAATCTTTCCTTTGGCTCAGGTCTCTTCAAACAACTCATTTAGGAGGGTTGTAAGAATGGCAGAACAGCTCATCATACTGCATGGAGGTTTCTAGGAACCAGAAAGGCTACAAAGTCTCCAAGGAGGGTTCTGGACAGGCTGGATTCATGGGCCAAGGCCAACAATATGAAATTCAACAAGACTTGGGTCACAACAGCCCCATTAAGTGCTACAGGCAGGAAGAGTGGTGGGGAAGTGGCTGGAAAGATCTGTCAGAAAAGGACCTGGGAGTGCTAGTAACACCTGGCTAAACATGAGCCATCAGTGTGCCCAGGTGGCCAAGAAGATAAATGGCATCCTGGCCTGTATCACAAGGGGCAGGGCAATGATTACTCCAGTTTTTGGCAGTGGTGAGGCCTCACCTCAAGTGCTGTGTCCAGTTCTGGGCCCCTCACTACAAGAAGGACATTGAGGTTGAGGTGCTGGAGTCTGTTCAGAGAAGGGCAACAATGCTGGTGCAGGGTCTGGAGAATAAGCTGCATGAGAGCAGCTGAGGGAGCTGGGATTATTTAGTTTGGAGGAGACCTTGTTCTCTACAACTGCCTGAAAGGAGGCTGTAATAAAGTGGGTGCTGGCCTCTTCTCCAAGTAAGAAACAACAGGACAAGAGGAAATGGCTTCAAGTTGCATCAGGGAAGGTTTAGACTGGGTATTAGGAAAAATTTCACTGAAAGGGCTGTGAGGCATTGGAACAGGCTGCTCAGGGAAGAGTTTGAAAGAAGAGATGTATGCGTAGCTCTTGGGGACATGGTTCAGGGATGATCATAGTGGTGGCAAAGTTGATGGTTGGACTTGATGATCTTGAGAGATCTTTGCCAACCTCAACTATTCCATGATTCTATAATTGAAAGTAGCCAGAGAGATGCCTAATCCCATTGGTTTGGTTGAGCAAAGTCTTTATGCAAACATACATGTCCCTCTATGGACTTACATGGTCCATGAGAGTTTTTGAAGAGCCCTGATATAATTTAAATAGAATTTTATTTGAACATGGGCTTTTGGGAATCTCTGTGAAGCGCCCACCAGTATTTTCAGGTGCCAGAATATCTCCAAACATCTGCTGTAGCTCTGTGCTGTAATGGAATCTTTAGAAGAGCAGCAGTAGACAAACTGCAACATAGCCCAGATGTCTATTTCTTCAATGATCTACTTAAGTAAGACAATAAATACAATGCCTCTGCAGAAATGAAACACAGAAATAAATTCTAAGGATTTATGTTTCTCTAGAATTTTGTGGAAAGTAATAAAGAAGAGGAAGTAGGCATGAGGTTGTAATAACCACTCAGTATCTTTTGCTTATGTGATGTGGGAAAATAACACAGTTTGTAATTGAAATATTTTCCACAAAGCCTCCCTCGGAGATGACTTCTGAATTTCTGTAAGGGGGTGACAGTAACAATCTATTATTAAAGCTGTAATGTGAATAATTACATGTATTCTAAATTTACCCTCTACAGAATTGAGTCACACCTGGACTAATTTATATCAATTAGGCAGTGAACCTGCAGTCTCTCACATCTATTTGCCACAGAAATCAAGGACTGGGTAGCAAGTACCTTGGATAGTATTTTATGGTATGTGAGTGTGTATTAGACTAGAGAGAACTCATTAAAAAAGCACTTTGAAGTAAAATATTATTTTCTTCATAACTGAAATGCAGAAGTTGGTCAAATCTTTATTGGCAGGATCTGTTGAAAAATTTTATTTACATCTAGCTGGTGTGTAGACACTCCCTGTCTCTCTTCCCTAAAATCACAATGGTTCAGCTACATGTTGTAGATTTTGCTGAACTAATACTTATCTCTCAGGTGCAGACAGTCACACCTGTGCTCCAAACTGACTGGATTTGAGCCAACTCCAGTTTGGGATTATAAAGGCGTGGCACACAACTGAATGCAGTCTACTGAGAGAAAGGGTGTATTAGCTTCGGTTTATCATAACATAAAAACATTACTTTCATTCAGCCAGTTTATATCAGGGCAGAATGGACATGCAGCTATCTGCACTGGATTGCAAAAACATGTGCTTTATGTCTTGCAGCTGATGTATTGGGAAATTTGAGCATTTTAATGCATGAGTCAGAAGTTTCTCTATCATGGTATTGCAAGTGGTTAATGATATGCTTTACAAGAAAAGCTTGAAAATATTAAGAAAGAACAAAAAGGGAAAAAAATAAGGAAAAAAGAGAACATTTTGATTGCTGAACTATGTTTCCTTGATGTTTCTGTGTGTTCTCTGTATTGCTCTCCCTTTCAAATATGGCCTTTAAGTATAGTGAAGATCCAATGTAAAGTACTTGGGAGCATCACCTTTGGGGACAATGATAATTCTTAGTGAAATACAGATGTAGCCTATTGCAATTTTGTATGAGTAAAATTATTCCCTTATGAGTCACAATACGGCAGCTGTAAAAAGATTGTCATTTTACAAATGACAAATGACTTGGAGCTGTGAGAGGAATACTGCCAAGTGGCAGCAAGGAGAAAAATAGTTTTGTATTTTCATAAGTGAGATGCCAAGATACTCTACCACAAGCTGTATTCCGAGTGACCTTTCCAATGTTTTATAGTCACTTATTTTACACAGGCAAAGTTTTAATTGCTGACCAGCAGTGATGTGTTTAAGATGAAAAAGATCAAAAGGGAAGGGAAAACATTGCAGAATGAAGTCAAAACACATTTAAAGGAACCAATACATCTGATGCATGCCTAGCCGATGCTTTCTCAGACCAGACAGATCTGAGCCTAAACTGATGTGCAGGCTGCAGAGCTATGAAAGAAGCCCCAAGAGATGCTGTGATTCACAGACACACCTGCGAGCCACAATTCCCACTCTGCTTCCTCTTAGTCGTGCAAGAACTGAAAGATGTTCTCAATCTGCTGCTGGAATGCGCCAGGCTGTGAGCATGATGTGCTGCTCCAGGGCTCAGCTGCTGTGGTCCCCAGACAGAAGGCTGATACCTGGCTCCAGCCCACTGCTGCTCACGGGCTGCAGTCGGGCAGGAAGAAGCAGAAAAGCGTGCGAATATTCCTGTCAGTGTTCCAGTCCCGAGCAGTGAATGCACATGGGAAAAGCAGAGCAGGAATTTGCGCTTCCGCCAAGCCGTGTGTTCACAGCAAGTCTCGTTCACAGGACACTGGACTTGATTTTCATCATTATGAACAGCAGGTACAAGAGAAACCAGACATGCAGCTCTACCCCTAATTCACATGCAAGAGTTTTTCTGTTATATATCTCCGAAATGACTGGTAGATTTTCACCTGATTTTTTTTTTTTTTTTTTTTTTTTGACACAGGGAGGTCATGTAGATATTTTCGGAGCAAGCATTTTCAAAACAGAAAATTTGACCAGGAAATTAAGGTTATGGTCAGGGAAAAGTCAGACAACATTACAAACTTATTACTATTTAGCTATAATTATGTCAGGGTGAGGAGCTCCCCAAGAGACAAGAAAATATATTTCCTGCTGTCAAGCGTAGCTAGGAATGCTTTACTGATCTATCTAATAAACAATGTAAAATCCTCATCTGAGCCATTCAATTTCTTTATTTTTTTGTATCTTTATTAAAAATCCTACTAGAAACTAAATTTAAAAAAATTAAGATAAAGTAATTTTATACAATCATCTTGAAAATCACAGAAACTTGTAATATGTTGTTGAGGTAAAAAAATTCCGCAATTTCACAAACACAAACACAGGGTAGAGGAAAAAGCCAAAACAGAGCAAAACGTGCTTTGAAATTTGTCACATGCATCTTTTATACATGTGAATGTATACACAGACGATGTATACATGATGAAAGAAACTACTTTCAATTTACAAATCTATACTAGCATCATCCAACTTCCTTCAGTTTGGACATCCACCATGAAAACTATATGTGTACTTTTAACAGCATTCAGACATTTCCACTACTACATACTCTTGACTTCAGAATGGACTTTTCCCATCTACATACAGACCAAAGTTACCCCTCCCTGCCACTGCCTGCAGAGTCCACACAGGTTCCCGCACTGAACAACTCAGATCTTTCTGAAGTGCCTATAACCTGCACTTGCTCACCATAAAGGGGGTCTTAAGCAAAACAGACTTCTGGCTTAATATGGTCAGAAATCAATAAACTTTGTGCAAGAAATTCTGAGATTAACTTTGCAAGACCTCAAGTAAGTGGTTCAGATCTCGAAAGAAAGGAAATAAAGTATTTCTTCCAATAATATGGCCACTATCTTTAACATCAGAAAAATCAGCAACCAAGAGTTTTAATATGGAATAGTTGAGAATCCTATCTAAAGAGAAGAACCTTGATTAGAAAGTTAGAAAAAGGTTGGCTTTATCATAATGCATGGCCTACAGGTACTTGCATTACAAGAGTTAGTAAGTTCATCACAAATAAATTTCCATGGAAATCTTTTTCAGAGCCTTTTGCAGAGAACATCTGGATTAAAAAAGAAGTCAATTTGTGTCTGCATGGTATAGAGAATCCCTAATCTGACCTTTCTTGTATTTCCAGTGCTTGATAATGCCATATTATGTTAACCATAATTTTTATGTAATCCCTAAATTAAGTTAATGAAAATAAATCAGTGCCTACAAAGCTGACTCTGGCCCTTGATTACTGGCTTGGATAAAGACCAGATTTTTTTAACTTCCCTTGAAATTTTTTTCTCTACTCTTCCATTGCACTCTGAGAAAAAGGAACCCATGACAGTAATGCCAGGTGATATTCTTCCTCAGACATTTTTTGGTAGCCAGAGTTCAGAACGCTCCACAATAATGTGCAGAGCCTAGATTTCTCTCCCTGTTAAAATTCCACTGGGATATGACAATAAATTGGATTTAATATACAGGAATAAATATCACCAAAAAAAGAGAGAGAGAGAGAGAGATGTTGTTTGTGTATCAGAAGAGAAAGCATGTTAGTGTGTAATTTGATTATAATTATTTAAGCCTATGAGAGGAAAAGCTAGTGTAAGTTTGGAATTTCCAGTCCTGATGTTTTGGTGTCATAGACCTAGGACTTTACAACTTTATTTACTTGGGAAAGTCAGCATAAACTGTCCAGACTGTATTGTCAGGTGCACAAGCTGCCACTGTCTTGTCTTCCAAAGTTTAAGTGCAGAGAAGGGCATTAAAAGCTCACTAACCACCTGTTCTATCCTTCTGCTCCTTAATTGCTGTTTGCAGCCTCAAATTAACAAAGACGTGCTTACTTAGTCTGTTTAGTGGAGCAGCACAGATCACCTGCACATCCAGTTAGTAGCAATTTTGCGAAGCATCTACACTGCCAAAACATTACATACTGCAGAATGCCTGTCTCAGACTCTCCTCTGCTTCCCCTCCTGCAGCTCGGAGATCCAGGCAAAGCCAGACCTTTTACCGGGACCCAGAAGGCCAAAAGGTCTGCCAGGTTCTACATGCTGGAACTGAGCACCCTTCAAACCCTTACTTCATAGCCAGTTTCCTGACTGTGTGACAGATTCTGATATTTTCCATTTTCTACTGAACATATTGCATGATATTCAAATTTAGGAAGTGCAATGGACTAATTAGCATCTTATGCACTGGACTGCATTTGCATCCCTATCCAGGTAACACCTGCTTTTCTTTAGATACCCTTGATTTAGGAGATGTCAATTTTCATTTGTGCACTTTTTCAGCTGCTTATGTGTTCACTTAAACAGTCACAAGGGACATCTTTTGCAGTTATCCCTTTCAATATCTAGTGGAAAGCTTCTTCTAATGCAGCTTTTGAATTGTCTCCTATGGGTCTGTCTGGAAAGCATTCACAGACACTTTCACACTTTCTAGGGGAAGTGTTGTGGAAAGAACTGCTGGCATTTTATTAACACGAGAAATTCTCTCACACTGTTTTATGCAGCTGCCTTACTGATGATGCGGTAGCAAATTCTGGATGTGGATCTGTTTCATGTAGTCTTAAATTGTTTCAAACTGCAAGTTACAATTGCTAAGTATACTTGATTTACTGAGGGAGCCTTTGCTTCTAGTACTGCTGAGTGATCAAAGACAGATTTTCATTGCATTACTGTATATATTCTCCCTGTTGCTCTGGAATGAAATGGGATGTAGAATTGATGAAAAGTTATCAACTCAAACTGCCATCAAAATTTTGGTTAAATAAACACAGTAATAGGTGTTTTTTCCCTTTTTCTTTTTTTAACTTGCATTTATTCAAAAAGTCTATCTTAAAATAGCAAATATTTCACTCATTATTATAAGGAATAATATAAAGTGATTATGAGCTTTTCAGTAAGACAAGTATCAGTGAGGGAGATTTAGCATCTGAGAGCTACTGCACAGCTCTTAGCATTATCAGCAGCACAATAAAAATCGCAGACTTGCAGCTGGTGTAATATTTATTGGTTATCAGTCTGACCCTTTATTCCTCCTGCTCCAACCTACACTTGTATAATGATACACTTGGTGATATTCAATCAAGATAAGAACTGATGTATATTACTGCATATCAACACTAATTTTGAAATTGTCCCTGACATTGCAAAGTCTCATACTGAGCAGCTGTTACTGATTTAATCTTTTTGATTTTTCTGAGAACAGATGAAAATAATTTTTTTGTTCAATATATCTTTTTACAAAAACACATTTTAAAGCAGTTATTTTGTTTTCTAAATTCCACCTTCATTCGAAAGAGCACACTTCTATCACAATAATTAAGAGAGTGTACAGTATAAAAACCACTGAAGCTTCAAATCTGAGAACTATTATGTAATTGGAACTAATTGAATCATGAGTTTAACACAATGATGACATTCCCTACTTTGTAATACTTAAATATTTTAAAAGGGTAAAGAGAAAATTCTCTCATGTCAGTAGCTTCTGGGACAATTATTATGGATTCCAGATCTGTCCCTTCAACGTGGCTTTCTAAAACTACAAGTAAAACACCCTAGTTTACAATCATGCATACAAAGTGAAGAGAAGATGATAGATATGACTTTATGAAGTCACTGATGGGTGCTCAGGGATCCAGACTGTAAACTTTTAAAGCAGAAGGAATAGGTATACTCTTTCCAGTATACCTTCAGAGAGTGCTAGATTACAATTAGAGGCTGGATTCAACTGCCCAGCTAATTCCTTAGGACAAATGGATTGCACAAGCTGGGCACAGAAGACAGGGGCTGTACTCCCTCCATGGCAAGTCTTATCAAGTCAAAACACAGACTACTGAAGCTGCAAGAGGAGCAGGTGTGGCTCATCCCCTCTCGGCTGCCATGCTGCAACATTGGCAAAGGGTGAAGAGGTTCCTCCTAAAAAAGCCCCCGTGCCAAAAGGGACTGTACAAACCCATGTAAAGTATCATGACCAAGCTTGCCGCAGCTAAGCACAAGGGACAAGTGGTACCCACAGGAGAGAGTTGTTTTCTGTTTCTCCCCTCCATTTCTCGACCAGCCCACTGAACATTTATCTATTGCATTTACTTCTTTTATCCCTGCGACAGCACCTGTTTCCAGGTGATTTGCAGAGCTTGGCCACCTCCATTCTGTCCCATTCCCAGCCTGGAGTGCTGAGAAAGATGGGACTGAGGGACAGAGAGGGTGCCATCTGTGACCACATCTGACCAGAATAACCCCCTCGGCAGGGTTTTGTCGGGAGGTGAAGTCCACGAGTGTCCCCCAGCCAGGCAGGGGCGCGTCTCCCCGCGGCAGGGACGGACAAGGAGCACCGAGGGCTGACCGCCACACTGCCGTGCCCGCTCCCGAATCCATCCCCGGCCCCTCCTCACCTTGTAGACATTGATGGGGATGTCGATGATGATGTGGAGCAGGTCGCCCAAGGCCAAGCTGGCGATGAGAATGTTGGGTCCATTCCTCATGCACTTGTTCTTGTAGATGATCCGCAGCAGCGTGGAGTTGCCGATGATGCCCAGGACGAAGACCAGGCAGGACACGACGGTGTTGATGTACTTGAAAGTCTCCTTGATCTCGGTCTGCCCCGTGCACATGGGGGGCGAGGCGGAGCGCGGCCGCCCTCCAGCCGCCCCCGCGCCCTGGGGCAGCGCGGCCGGGCGGCTCGCGTTGTGCAGCGCGGGGGTCGCGGCCGTCGGGGGCGCGGCGGCCGCGCTCTGCCTGCCCGGGCCCGGCCGGAGCAGCGAGCCGTCCTCCTCGGCGGCGGCGCGGCAGCTGAGGAGCAGCAGCAGGAGGAGGAGGGCGGGCATGGCTGTGCCGCACGGCAGATTGCCCCCGCCGCCGTCAGCGCCGACCTGCGCGGAGAGAGGGGACAGGGCGTCAGCAGCGGACGCGGCACCCCGCCGCTCGCTGCCCCGGGGCCGGGGCGCTGCCTGTCCCCGGGCGGTGCCGGCGCTGCGGGCGGCAGAACAGCGTCGGGGTGAAAACCTGCGCGACGGCGGCCGCGGCCAGCAGCCCCTCCGGCCGGACCTGCTCGGTGTCGCCCCGCTCGTGTTCCCCTCACCTCGGCGAGAGGAGCCGAGCCGATCCTCCCCGCCGAACGCGCTCCGCTGTCTGGCTCCGCGCTCCGCGCCCCGGCTGCGTGTCCCCGCCCGAGCCCGGCTGCCGTCGCTCGCCGGCGATGCGCGCTCCGCTCGGGAAGGCGGCCGGGACGGGCGCTTGCGGCAGAGCCCGGTGTCCGTCAGCCGCGCACCAGACCCCGTGGCCAAAGGCGCGGCGGCGGCGCGGGGCCCCCCCTTTTCTAAAACATTCAACCGCATCTGGCCCATCAGTCACAGCCAGACCCCACCCGCGTCCTCCGCCCCCAGCGCAGCCCGGCCCAGTCCCCCCGCCCGCCGGCCCCGCGGAGCCTCCCATCACCGCTGTCAGGAGTGCCCCCGGCCGAAGGGCTCCCGACCTCGCTACCGGCCAGGCGAAATGCCCTCCGACCTCCCCCTTGTCTTGTACCAGGCTGACTCGGCAGCCTAAAGAAGCAGGCTTTGAAAGAATTTTTCAGGAGGGTTTTTGCAAGGGGTATGGGCATTGCTGGAGGACAGCTGGGAAGCAGAGGGCACTTCCCTGCTGTTCCGTCCGAGACTCACTCCCAGTAGCTGGGTACGGGATTCTCCCGCTGCAGAAACCCCCTTGCACAGCCCGAGGGGCGCACACGCTGGAGAAGCTGCCTGTACAACGTCTTCGAGTTTAGTGCCACGTTTTAAAGCGCTTCACAAAACCTTTCTTACATCACAAACAGTATTTTGACTGCTCTGAAGTTGCAGTTCGGTTATCTTGTTGATTGCCGCTTTGGGCAGCCTTTGCAAGGCGTCTGATCTCAGTGAACTCGTTCCAGTCTTTGCACCCTTCAGTGAAGCGTAAGGAAAGGGGGAAAGACATTTGTCCAGGATTTTGTGGAGACTAAGAACAGCCTCTGCAGGTTGGAGACAATTGCATGTCTAACTAAAGAGAGTTGAATTTAAAACTGTTTTTCAGCATCTCTGTGTACATCTCCCCGATGTTCTTTTTTTCCTAAATCATTCTGCAAGCTAAATCTTGAGTATATGCATGCTTTGTTAGAGAAGCAACCTGCTCCACCTACATTATTGACATGCCCATATGGGAAAACGCTGAAAACCACACACTTCTTTTTTTCCAAAATTGGTGATCTGATTAATCTTTCCAGCATCTCCTGCTAACACATCCTTGTGCCACTGGAGCAGACAGTCTTTTCTTGTCCTCATTTAGCTTCCTTTTCACATCTTCATCTTTGTTTAAAAGACTTCTCTATTAAACACCTTTCCCATTCAATCATTCTTGATCAACTTCCTCATTTATGTCATAGTTCTTTTTCTTCCCATTTGAAATTGCACTATTTATGGAATAAAGCCATTAAAGTAATTTCTAAACTGTACAAGGGTACCTAGAGGCTGGTTACACTCCAGCTGGAAGACTGATGTCCCCAAGTTCAGGTTTTTCAAGATTGCGTTGTGCAACATGATTCATTTTTAAACACCATGGCTGATTCCTCTCCCAAAGATAAAAGTATGAACATTGAATTCAATATTGTATTCTGAGCCTGGGGATTTAAACAGTCTTTTAATTTTTCACGTTTGTATTTTCTCAATTTCCAATCCAGCAATCCATAAGTGAACAATGTTTTGCTAAATGCAATATTGATTTAGAAACTCTTGCCAATTAGCACAGCATTAACTTTAATCTCAAAATGCTTTTTTACTTGCAAGGTTCCAGCCAAGTCTCAAAGACTTCTATGCTGATCCAGACGATCAAGAAATATATTGTGACTACAGTGAGATATGTTTGCTAAACATTTTCATTATCACAACTCCATAAGATGTTTGCTGCTAGTGGCACCTTCATTGCTGCCACTTACTTCAGCTCCATAAGTTTTAGTAACAGCAATTTAGTTTCTGAAGTGTTTAATGTTAGTATATACAAACTTAGTATATACAGAACTTTGGGCAGATGCTGATCTCCAAAGCACATTACTCTTTAATATTGCACAAAATGAGTCTACGTGACAAAGCATCTAAGATACTTCTGGCTGCAACTAGTTAAATTTACTATCTTTTTTTGTTTATAGTATTTTTTTTCAGATATTTGAGGGATTAAACTCAGTATCTGCTGTGGAATAAGTATGCTTTAATTAATGAAAATTAAAGGAAAACATAATTTCACATAAATTTATGTGAGGATTAAGATAATACTGTATAAAATACCAAGACCATATCAGATATCTTGGCAAATTAACTCTAATTTGAATTAAGATCAACTAACAAGATTAATTTAGACTGCAACAAGAGAAAAACATCTGTAAATGTAATAAACTTGTGCCCTTTAAGTGGCCTCTGCTAATTAAGCTATGAAAGAAATTCCTTACTGAACTGTATGGAATACATTATATAAAATTATGTAATGTGTCTGGCACTTTTTTTTTCTTCTTTTTTCTTTTTTTTCCTATGAAGCAGAAATACTCCTTGTCCTATGGAAAGTTCACTTTTGTACAAAGCAGGGAAAGCTGGACCCTCCAGACTGCCTTTTACTCATTTTATCTTATTCTGTGCTTCCACTGCATTTCATCTCACCAGATATTAACAATTATATGAATTAGCCAGTCGCTATTTTAATTATAAGTCAGATGCAACATTTTCATCAATGACTGATAATGTTCGGACTTTTTTTTTGTTTTTTCCTGATTTGGAATGCCATTTACAAAGTGAAAAGACTGGATAACTTGTAATCATCACCAGGATGATTTTTAACAACAGAAAGGCTTTAAAAACTATTACGTTACATGTAATATAAATCATGAGAAGTGGTCACCATTATGGCATCAAAAAGTCCTTTAATTATCAAGCTTATGAGACACACTGCAGGACTGTATATGTTAATTAATATAATAATTTATTGAACCAATGAGAATTTTGTTATGAATTTTTCAGGTACTTTTGCAAATCCCATTAACTTTCTGTTTATGTTGTTCAGCAGCTAAAACAGCCTCAGAAGTCTGCCCCATCAGGCCTGCTTTTCTTTTTATTGAGTCTGGTGGAAATTTGCCCACAAACTGGGCAAGTCTGGGATGAATAGAAAGAATAGCTGTCTCAGTGTGAGCCACTCATTAGACGCATGAGTTGAATTAATGTCAGAAAATAGTCCTCTGTGTTGCAGAAGTTACTATAGAAACATTACCAATGGCAATTTTGAAAGAATAAAGCACTTTAAGAAACTGAGATATTAGGATATTGCAGTTTTGTAACTGCATACGTTCATGTTCTGGACAGATGATTAAGAAGAATGACATTATCTGTCTCATTTTTTTTCTTAATCTAAACTTACACAAAAAGATGGAATTCTTTTTATTATGCTGTGCAGCTATGCTTTGTCTTTTTCTACAAAGCTAAGCAACTTCCATAAATAATAGTATTGTCTGTTGTGTACTGACATTATACCTACTTCTTGAAATAAGGAAACAAAATTTATTTCATCATAAAAAGTTAGATAAAACCCTACCAGTGGATAGCACCAATGAAACATGAAGTTTGGATGCAGATAGCTGTTTTAAGGTAGATTACATTGTATATGATTGCAAGATCAAATGAAATTGAAATCAAATTTGTACTAAGAAGAAAATATTTGTCTGTCTCTTATAGTCTTTTTAATAAGAGCTTGAGGATTTTTTTAATGGAATTAAGTTCAAGACTGAGTGAGACTGGTTGATAACTGAAATGTTTCTTCCTAACTCTGAAATTAAAACCAATATGCTGCTTAGTAAAATTTTTCCCTTCATCCTTCTTATTCAGCAGCAGAAAAGGAAATCACAAGGTAAATTGCAGTTCTAAAACCGATACAGCAGCATGTAATTAAATTGAGGTACAGAATACGCTGAATTATTGTCTATTGGGGGAAAAGTTACTGAAATGGATTTGGGGAGGTAGCTACAGGTTAGAAAGAACAGCATTTCTGCATTTTATGGAAATGATTAAAACCTTTTTTTGGTTTGTTTGTTTTTCCCCATGATACTTCACTATAATAAAGGTGAACACGTTCACTTTTAAATTCCAGTTGTAATAGAAATTTGGATCAGAATCACCCAGGAAGCCTAGATAAGATCAGTTGTTTAAAAAAAGTGCATGTTTTAGCTGCTGTGTAATGTATGAATTTATACAAGGAAGGTGATAACTGACCATACATTGTTTATGTTGTTACACAGAGATTACTCCAGGCAAGCTTTTCAAGTCTGGATTAAATTAATTTCCAGATAAAATGCCTGGCCTCAACAAGAGGTGTAGTGATTCACTCATCCATGCATTTCTGCAAGTGTGGCTATGTAATACAAAACAGTGTGTTCATCTGGATAGAGCAAATCTTCCACCACATTCTGGCTCTAAACTGTACTAATGAGCTGTACACCAATGAAATAATTTGGTTAAGAATTCTCAGAATAAGGACATCCGTGCTGTGAAGTAAAAGAGAGATTTCATGTGCCAGAGAGCTGGCTGTCCACAGGCTTCTTGTTTACTTCGTGCTTGGCTCTGCACAGGATGGTCCCACCTAGCTACAAAATCAAATCTATTACTGTGGGGCCAGGCCTAAGTGGTGATGAAAGCTGGTTCTTGCCACAAGACATTGGGGTTCCTTCCAGGCAGTAACGTGGCTGCACTTCCCAACAACTAAAATAATCCCTGGGATCCTCTGCTTGCATTGGAGAGGGAGACACTTCCATTTCTAAGGTGAGAGTTGTTCCCTTGAGGGGACA